AGCTGTGCTAGTTTGTATGGGCTGAAGGTGTTTGTGGGGTTACTGACCCTGTGTAAGGTTTTAGAGGTAAATTTGGTGAAGGTATCGTAAGCTGAGGATGCAGCAATTTTTTCTGGAAGAGGCAGATTCCTTTTCTGTCCATGTGTTAGGAGTACAGTCCTGGATTCAGCTGTGGCAGGTGGAGCAAAGTATGGATGTCACTGTGGGATTAAGTGGGAGAGGAGCAGGAGAGTAAGCAGCAGGCAGTGCCTTTCTCAGCTGGAGTTATGAAGTTTCCTATACTCACACTTCCTGGAGACATTTCTTTTGTTCCCTCATGACTGCGCTACCTGTTAGAACACTGTACATGACAGAGATATCTGATGGCCCCCCAGTGGGTGGTGGGGTGAGTGTAGAGGGAGGATATAGCCAGATGCAGGAGGACACACCTTGCTTCCCTGTGTATTTGCAGGGGCTGTTATGGTGAAGGAATAGCATTTTGGGAGGCAGCTGGTCCTGGGGCTCTCCTCTGGAGACTTGCTGTGGTCATTACCTTCTGGGGGAGGGGATGCTTCAAAGGAAGGGCTGTGAAATGGGGTGAAGAAGAGGGAAGGGGGTGGTCGGACTGCTTTTTTTCTTTCCATTTCTTGTGTTCATTATAGTGCATCAGACTGTTGGATAAAGCTGTGTGTTACACAACATGCCTTAATGGCATGCAAGGAGTGGAATGGGGTGGCACATTCCTACCTTACTGCCATCTGAATTTCTCCCAACAGATGTGCTCTTGTAATGTGCAGATGTTTTCTTGAAGTGAGCCTTTCTAAGTGTGACTTCTCCATAAGAAATAATTCGAGCAGCCCCACCCCAGCTGGGCTGTTGTAATACCTACCTATTTTTTTCAAAATGTTTGATGCTTTTCTTGGTAAAGCTTGCTTTGAAAGAGCCCATTCTGGGTGCTTGTGGAGATCTTCTGGGTGTTCCTCGATTCTCTCACCGGTATGAAGAGCTGAGCATTTATGTAATTGGATAAGTAATTAGCACAGCAGAAACGTGCTGTTTTCATGCCAGGTCTGTGAAGATGGTAGCCTCCTTGGGAAGTGACATGAGTAAAAGCAAAAGCATAAGGAGCAGCAGTTGAAAATGTGGAACCTAATTTCTTCTGGATGGTACTATAAAATTACCCCAGAAGTGCCCTATGCCATTCTGTTTATAAATGCCTCTATAAATGAGATTCTGAGGAGCTGTTGTTATTGTTGCTTTGCAGGCTGCAGTTCAGTTAAATGTACTATGAGGTACAAGGGGATGTTTTGTTTGGTTGTTTTTGTTTTTAAATGGTAATACTGTAGCTTTTCTCTGCTTTGCAGCTGGAACAATTTTTAAGTGAAAATGGATAAATATTTGAAGGCTGTTAGTAGCAGCCATAAGGATAATGAGGTTTGAAGCCTAAAATTTATCATTTGAGAACAGTGGATGCAAGAACAATATAACGGAATTGTCAAGAGACTGAGGTTTTCTCAGGTCATTGATTGATATGTAGTGAAACATGAAAATCCCAAGAAAGCTTTTTTAAATTCAAGTGAGTATTGCATTCAGTTTGGTCCCTGCTCTACAAAAAGGATACAGAGAGGCTGGAGAGGGTCCAGAGAAGGGCCAAAAGGATGATTAGAGGACTGGAGAACCTGTCATGTGAGGAGAGGCTGAGAAAGCTGGGTTTGTTCAGCCTTGAGAAGAGAAGGCTTGGGGCTCCAGTTTACCATGTTCCATTACCATTCCAGTTTTTCAAGGGTGGCTACTGAGAAGGTGGAGACTCCCTATTTAGAAGCAGTCACATGGAAAAGACATGGGGTAATGGGCACAAGTTGCTTCTGGGGAGATTCCAACTGGATACGAGGTAAATTTTTCACCATGAGGACAATCAGGCGTTGGAATAGTCTCCCAAGGGAAGTGGTAGATTCCCCCACCTTGGACAGTTTTCAAGTCTCAGCTTGACAGGTGCTGATCCATCTCATATAAACTATAGTAGTACCTAGAAAGTTTGGACCAGATGATCCTTGAGGTCCTTTCCAACCTGGCATTCTATGATTCTGTGACTTTCCTATAAGAACTTTAGCTCTCATTTGTATTTTTGAGAGTGTAATATTAATGCAGTACGAACAAGTTTTTATGCAGTATTTTTATCTGTGTTATCTATGTGATTTGGAAGAAATGTGCAGTTGAATAATAAGAATAATAAGGTTTTTGGTTTTGTTTTTCTGGATTGCAAATGATACTGACTACAGTAATTGCAGTATGTAATAAACACATCTTCAAGTCTAAATAGCTTCTACAAAACATCAGTGTTTGTGCACAGGAAGGGAAGTCTGATACTGAAAGGGCTTGATGAAGTCAGCAGTGCTCAGTGCCATGTAGACACACTATGTAGTTCCAGAAGAAGCTTATGATTCTGTAGTAAATTCATAATTTAAAATTGTGGAAACCTGTAAGTCAGTGTGAGTGCTGAAAGAGCCTTTTTGATGAAGGAAAGGTCTGGAAGGTGGAAGGATGAGACAGTTCTCTCCTGGCACTTTCAGGTGTTAGCAACTTCAGAGTTTCTCCCATGGACCAGAGTATTAACCCCTGTGTCACCCACACGTGCAGGTGGGGTGGATTCAGTTGCTTTGATCACCCACATAGGGATGCAGTAGATGAGACATCATTTAATCTGGTGTCCCTACCATGCTCTTTGCTTGGGCAGAAATCCCAGAAGAGGCTGCAGCCAGAAGGCATTGAGTTCCCAGCAGTGTTACCCATTGAGTTCCCAGCAGCGTTACCCGTTCTGTTTTCGTCCAGGAGGGAAGAGCCTGTGGGAATGGCTGTGTGCTCAGAGTGCTCTGCAGACCCTGGTGTTGAGCAGTAGCCAGGATGCTGTGCTTTCAGGCTGAGCAGGAGGTGTGTGCTGTGGTGGACACTCCTCACTGCCAGAGCACCTTAACCCATCTTTAGTGGGTTCAAGAAGGGTAGATACTTGAGACCAGAACTGCTGACCCTGAATGCTTCTGGGTGACTACCAGAGGCCAAGTGCTGAGCTTTTACTGTGAGTCTTTGTGGTTGGGCCTTCTGAGCTAGGACTTTTTTGTTCCCTAATTAACAGGATGGGAGGATGGGAATCAGAAGAAAGTTCTACCTTGTGTCTCTGCCTTCAGAAGTAAGAGAGCGATGAAGTTAAATGCCTGATTATGTTTTTGAAGCTGGCAATTCCTCTCATGTTTGTCTGATGACTTGAGATTCTCCAATCTCTGTGTTTCATTTTCTCCAATTGGAAAATGGGAAGAATATGTTGCTTCTTCTGTGTGAGGGCTACACCGAGCACCTTTATTGGTGATGCAGGGCTGCTGGACTCTTGGAAAACCCAACTGTAATGGGTGTGTCTGTAAATGGATTCATTTTCTCAGAAGGTTGCAGAAGCATATGTGACCAGTAAAGGAATGATGTGCCTTTCATCATAGGCTTTTGATTGTGTAGGTATTATCCTTAGAGGTAATGCAGCTATCTGAGATAGGTAATATATTAGCCTTTATAAAGCACTTTTAAGATGAAGAGTACTGCTCTGTGCAACAGCCAGACTTAGGTGTGAGTCCGGTCATTAAGAACTTGTTTAGAATTACAGGCCAAATCTTCTGGGAGGCTGAACATCTCCAACCCCTTCAGCAACCAGGGTATTTAAAGAATATTGTATCACATGGCATCCAAAATAAATAGAAATAATTTTATCTGAATTGTCATGTAGGGTAAAGCTGTTGCTCTGATTGAACAGCTACCACTACAATATTGATTTAAAAAAAAATAATAAAAACTGTTGGATAATGATGCCTTTAAAATGACAGAAAAGTATTTTAAAAGCTTTATTCTCATTGAAATAGTTCCAGAAGGGCCTTTGTTGTCTCTGTGTTGGTTTGTTTACTTGCCTTTTTTTTTTTTCTTAGAACTATTTTGATGGAAAACTTTCCCCTCAAGGGAAAATGCCTTGGATTGAATACAATCACAAGAAGGTATCTGGCACTGAGTTCATTATTGACTTTTTGGAAGAGAAACTTGGAGTCAATTTAAATAAACACCTTGGTCCACATGAAAGAGCAGTTTCCAGAGCTGTGACAAAGATGGTGGAGGAGCACTTCTACTGGTAAGCTTGGATGGTGACACTGGCTGCGTCCTTGTGCTGGCAGATCTGCCCCTGTGCCCCACATGCCTGCATGTGAATGCTTATTTTCACTTGCAAGAAACTTGGGTACCCAGTTATTAATTTCAAAACTCTCTTCACCCTAGAAAACTGCTGCTTCTTTCTGTGTATGCTAGTTTGAGCTGGGCTATTTCCCCTGAGAAGTTGTCATGCTGTCTAAGCAAGATAAGGAGTCAGGCTGTTCACCTGCAGCTCTGCAGAAGGGAGGAGGCAGTGAGCTGTTCCTCTTGTCCTGTTTCATATGGCCTCTGTGTAGAAACAACTTGGTTAATAAAGAGCAAAAAATTAAGGTGGCTGAATAGGTTTTATGTTTTGGGGGATGCAGAGGAGCAAATCCAGCATTTGTTGTTAATCTGGAATATTGTGTTCTCGTGGTTACTGATTTGAATTAATTGTGTGTGATTATGATATGGATTATTATGTGTGTGTGATTATGATCTAGATTATTACCTTTCCTGTAACACAGGATACTCCTGTTGGTGTGTATTGTTGACAACACTTCCAGTTGGTAGGATATGGTTTTTGCCACAGTATCCTGAGAAGCTGAAGTATGTATATAAATGGAAAACAAATATAACCTTGTTGATTGATACCTTACACGTTTTACTGGCATCTATGAAAATAATACCTTTGATTGCCCATCCACTTAACATTTCAGCCCCTTAAGTGCCCTTTCCTGTCTGGATTCATAGAAGTAGCAGGTGGACTTAGATGCTGCATTGTCAGCAAACTCAGCAAGCACAAGGCTTTTTCCCAGTAGTTTGCTTCTGGCACTTGTTAAAGTCCTTGATGTACTGAGTATCGCATGCTCGTTGCACTTGTTTTCTTCAAAACAATGTGTGATTGAAGTTGAATGCCTTTATCTGCCTTTTCTTTTACCTTTTGATTGAAGAAGAGCAACAATGTGTATGTACAGTTTTTCAAATAATTTTTAGTGTTTCCTAGGAAGAATTTTACCATTCAGTAAGAAGGTTTAAATATACGATTTAGAAACGTAATCCCTGCCTTCTAAGAAGTGTGACCTTCACCATCTGCAGTGCCATAGCCTCAGAAATCTGACTCAAATAGCCTGCAAATCTAACTTGTTTCTTTGGTTTTCCATTTTTACCCTCAGTTATTATAGCTGCCAAAGGGAAGATGAGGACTTTTAATCCCCTAATGCTCCATCTTCTTGCCTTAGTGTTGTTTTTGAGTCCATAGACTTGACTTCTTTAAATGTAACATAACTGATGACAAACTTGAGTGCTGCAGTGTGTCAATTACAAATCTGCTTTCCTTTGTGAAGCTGTTGCCTCTCTATCCAGGCCCCTCTGAGCTGACTTAGCACTGCTGGGCATGACACAGGTGAGCATGCAGGATATTGCAAATTCAGGCATTGACCCAGGTAGGTGGCATTGAAATTGGTGAACAAAGCTGGGCCAAGTAGGAACAGAGATGTGCATGCCTGGCTGTATATCCCTCTTGCCTTTCTGTTTAGTTGCACAGTTGAGTTTCCCTAAGGGATGTATTTTTTCTGCAGTGGAGTAAAATATCCAACTCTTAAGCCTTATCCTATGTTGGTGAGCTTACACCATGATGGTTCTCTGTGCTAGGCAAAGCTTGAGCTTGGAGACATCACAGTTGTACCCCTGTAATCCCTGGATAACAACTTTGACCATCCTGTAGTTACACCAAACGAAAGCCTGGCTTTAGCTGAGTAGGACTGCACTTCTCCCTGACAGCATTGCATCTGTGGCTGTGGGGTCCCTTCACCTGTGTCTTTGAACCTGCCCACTTCCCACCAGCAGGTTAGGGCTTGTTCATGGTGTCCCCAAGCCCTATGGTGAGGGATTTCTGACAGTGATCCCCTTTCTGCAGAATAGGGTTTATAAAATCAAGCCTCCAAAGCAGTGACATAAAACATGATTCATGCCAGTTCATTGCCAGCAGCATACAAAGTAGCTTCAGCATAAATAAGTAACACTGGAGTACATTTATCAACCAGAGCAGCGAGGTACATCCTGTGGTAGGCTGTCTCTGGATGAAGCTAATCCTGGTGGGTTCTCAGCATCTCCTCCTGTAACATTTGTCTTTTGCTGAGGTAATTGCTCCTCTTCACCAATTACTTTGCCAATGACTGGCTCTTACAGGTGGAAATTGCTGCTCTGGCTGGAGTTGAGAGCAGTGCAGGGCTGTTCTGAAGCTCATCCTCTAGACACCCTGCCTCTGCCCCAGGCTGAGAGACAGTGAGGGAGTGAGCATCCCAGTTCTAGTGCCAGGATTAGAGCATATCTCTGAGATGCACAAGACTGATTTGGAGCTGGCACTGGAGCTCCTGTTCCCTGGAGAATGCCATAGCTGTCAGGATTTAGCTGTGTTTAAATTGGCCAAAGAAGAAAAAAGCCTGCTAACCTGAATGGGTGTTGGGCTGAGTCAGCAGGGAAAAGGTGGGAGCAGGCCAGTATTGTGGCTCTCAGCCCAGGTCCTGGTTCTGATGCAGACCTCTGTCACCTGCTGGAGGCTTGCCCTGGGTCACCCCTGCTGCCTGCAGTGGCCTGTGGGCCCTCAGAAACCAGCAGGGTGCACACAGCCATCTTCAGGATGTATTGAGTTTTGGCTGTATCTGCAGCATGTTCGTGAGATCCGACCTCTGTGTGAGATGGGCTGGAGGATGTCAGATTCTCATGTCCTTCTGGTGCTGACATGCTGGGCTCAGCAGCACTGCCAGCATTCAAGCTAGGCAGCTCCTGGTGCCTGAAGGGCTAGCAGTCAGTGCAAGGTGCTTTCTGGCACTTGATTCTCAGGAGAGGGATCTCATGTTGGTGATGCTAATGTGTTTAATGAGAACCTAAAGCCTTGAATATGCAGCTCAACCAAACTAACCCATTAGATTGGTTTAGCTGTATTGTCAAACACAACTGTAGTGATTCATAGGTGTGCACATATACACATATTTAACTAATTTCTTGCTTTGTCTCTCAAGAAGTCTGTGCAAATATCACATTATGTGATGACTGCTTGAAGTACAGGAGAAGCATGGAATGAGAATACAAATGCATGTGAGTTTGGCTGATACTCAGACTTGCCATGTATTAAACATAAAATATGTCTATAATATAATTATATTTAAATATATCCAGTTAATTATAAGAGCAATGTCTCTCCTGCTATTAGCAATTATGAGGCTTGAATGCTGCTGGTAGCTGAAAAGCCAGTTGCTCTGGGCCAGCTCACAGCAGGTGAGGTCTCTACAGCTGATTGTGGAACAAATTTGTTACTATCCTTTTGTATATCAAGAAATTCCAGTCTGCACAAAATCAGATAGGAAAAATACCCCCCAGTTCACATCCCTGTGAGCACCTCCTCCTTGCCTTGATGTTCAGACACTTTAGGGATAATCAGCCAAGCTGCTGTTGATGAGTCACTTTCTCCATCTCCTCTCCTGATTTATGTATTGAGGCCAAAGCTGCTGTTACATTTAGACTTCAGATTTGCTTCAGCCCTGCAGCCTTGCTCTTGAGCAGTATTGTTTTATTTATACTCTTTAAGATTTGTACAGATGTGCTGGCACAAATGGGAATGTTAATGTTTCCTGAAGTGCTCAGTTCAGGTCAGTATTTAAAATAATTATGTCATCCTTTAGCTACTAACTGAAGTTTTAACTGTATAGTTATGCTGAAAGTAGGTTATGTAGACTACCTGATTTCTGGCATTCCCTAACAGAATGACAGGATCGTTCTGGTTGGAAAAGACCTTTAGGATCATCCAGTCCAACCATAACTTAACTCTACCAACCATTAACCTAACTCAAATGAGTCCAGTGCTGAACCATGTTCCTAAGCACCACATCTGCACGTCTTTTAAAAACCTTCAGGGATGGTGATTCAACCACCATCCTGGGCAGCTTGTCCCAGTGTTTAATTACACTTTCAGTGAAGATGTTTCTTCTCATATTTAATCTAAACTTCCCCTGGCACAACTTGAGGCTATTTCCTCTTGTCCTGTTGCTTGTTACAAGGGAGAAAAAAAACAACCTTCACCTCATCACAACCTCCTTTCAGGTAGTTGTAGAGAGTGATAAAGGCTCCCCTCAGCCTCCTCTTCTCCAGACCCTAACATTTTTTAATGTTGATAATATTTTAGTAATGCAGTCTGAGCAGAGGGATGATGGGTGGGATTAAAGGCCGAGGAACATGTTTTGGTAGGTGGCACCTTTTAGTGAACCTTTGCATAGATTTAACAAAGTGCTTGTAAAGATTGTTTAAAAAGTGCATTTAACTTTCTCAGAATCTGAGCCTACTTTTTTCTTTGCTTTTGCGTGCTCAGAACCATAACATTTTAGAAGTAAACTCTGTGGTTGTTTAGCTGCCTTCATTGCCCATGGAAATTTGAGTTCTGGGACAGATGACAACTTTACTCACTCAAAGTGACAAGCAGATGTCTAAGATTGTGCTTGACAATTTAGCCTAAGCAGGTTTATCCTGTGTAGTTCTGCCCTTCCTGCCTTGCTGTCCTGATCATTAAGTGCTTCATCTGATCTCTGCCTCTTCCAGACCTGAAGACCTTCTGCCCCATAGCAAGCAAGTGCCTAGGAACTGTATTTTTGCTCTAAAGTATAGGCTAATTAGCTTTGTGGGAAACCTTTTTCATCCTGTCTCATGAAATGAAAGCCATCCTGGACGTGGTTGATCATTCTTGGTGCGGTGCCAGCTCGCCGGTGTGGTTGGAGTGAGCAATAGTGATGATGAGTCCATATGGCCAGGTTAGTCTTGTGCAACTGGTTAGGTTTACAGAATGCTGCAGCAGAGTCTCCTCTGTTTTTCAGCTTTGTTTGGCTTCTTTTTCACGTTGTCCCTCTCTCTGTGGCCAGGCCTGTTGTCTTAAAGCAACTAAGTTTTGTTGCAGAGCTGACACATGAAGCTGGTCAGGTTTCTGTTGGGGAAGTAGGGTCTTTGCAGAGAGACACACAGCAGTGCTCTCAGAGAGCAGGTTTTGCTTAACTTACTGAAGTAATCAGTGGTAACTTAAGAGATACAGACAATAATTATTTCCTGGTGTTTGCGTCAAGACCAGAGATGGTTTTTTTTCCCCCTGTATTCAGAGCTGAACCTGCCTAAGGGACCTTGTCTTTTCCCAGCCCAGTGAAGCATGATTACTGAAATGTTCTGCTTGGTGGAGCACCCTTATGCTTTCAGCCCAGTCTTCTTTCCATCCTTCTTAAATCCTGTTTTACCTTTGTTCCTGGAGCAAAGCTGCCTCACACCACATCTTCTATCCAAAGTTAATGCTTCTGGAGTTACAGTAGCTGTAGACTCCTGTGCTTACTGGCTTCACATCCCCCCTTTTGTGCTGGTGCTTCTCACTGAATCTGGCTTTGTTTCAAACTTCGCTTCAGCTCAGTGACTTGAGTTGATCCATCTGGTTTGAAAAACAAGGATTGTGCAGAACAACCCCATTAGGAGAGTGGTACTGGAGTGTGTGAAACATCAGCAGGATGCTTGTGGTATATCAATACAGCACAAGAGCTTGTGGAGAAACCTGTTGAGGATAAAAGCCATCAGAAACATAGCAGGTACATTTTAGTTCTTCACTCTTCATATGTTTGCAGCAAAACTTGCACGAGCCTCACTGTTAATGACTTACATGAAATCACTTTGAGCACAAGGCATTGTGCTGCAATGGACAATTTTTCATAGAAAGAATTCAAGAGAAACCTAACTCAAAAACCCCCACCCCTTCAATTTGTTTTTAAATTGTATTTTTAAAAGATTGTGTCATTGCTAGTTTCTGAAGAGAGCAAGAGATCTTTTGAAAAGTCACTGCTACAATATTGATGTTGGGGCAGAGTTACAGCTTGGCTGAGTTTCAGTCGTGTAGAAAGCAAGAAGAGTTTGGTGGGAAGTATTGATTTCTTTGTGGGGTGTTTTGTCATTATTTTCCCCAGGTCTGTGTAGTCAGTCATCTTTAGCTAATAAACCCTCTGTGCCACTTTTGGCTCTTTGTTAATGTGAGTTTAACAGAATTCTGCAGCTTGAAAAATCTCATCTTCTCTGGAAGTGAGTCAGAATTTACTGACAGAATAAGCATTGGGCAGTGTGTTTTAAGTATTGCACAGTCACTTTGCTGTTGTTCCAAGCTGCATTAGGGTCTGCTCTTTATGGGAAACTCCTTCACCAGGGCGGGGAGCACTCAGCATGAGGAAAGCTCCCTGCCAAGTCGTTGTGAGATATTCTACCACCGTAACTTGTTTTTGCATCCTCCTAGGACTTTAGCTTATTGCCAGTGGGTGGAAAATCTTCACGAGACGCAGAAGATGGTTTCACTTTTTGGCCCCTTTAGCGACTTGCTGAAGTGGATCTTCTGCCACCTGACCAAGGGGATCGTGAAGCGAGAGATGTACGGCCATGGCATCGGTCGCTTCTCAGAGGAGGAGATGTACACGCTGATGGAGAAGGACATGAGGACTCTAGCAGGCCTCCTGGGTAATGTACAATGACTTACATGTGTTCTGTTTGTTCACAGCCCACTGGCCTCAGGACAAAATCGATTCCTTCCTGGCCACCTCATCACATACACAAATAACCTCCAGTTGTCAGTAGGTAGTATCTGTGCTGCTGCTGTCATTCAGTGCCGCCCTTGCTCTGGCAGGGACAGTTGTTATTTCCCAGCTGTTTCCTACCAAATTGTGCCTTTGAAAGCCTAGTGTTTAGTTCTGCAAATCTCATTTATATTTTTGGGGGTGTAACATTTTTTCATTTTGGGACTCATGGCTGTTTGATAGAATGTTATGAGGCTGCCATTTGTAAGCCCTTTCTAGATATTATTTTGATGAGCTGGACTTTGTTGTATTTGATTGGTGTTAGCAGCTTTATTCAAAATGAGTTTGATCTGTGTTGTCAAAATAGGTGGTTTTAGGCTTCTTGGTTGTCATGGGTAGATCCCATAGGGTAAATCTTAAGGTTGAGTTCACTGAGCTAAAACCACATAAGCCTTGTTTCTGCTGTGTAGCTCAGGCTGAAATCTGCACCTGTCTGCACTGTTCCTCACCTTGCAGTCTGTTGAGACTCATCAAAATGTGCATTTTGAGAAATTAGTTTTGGGCAGATTCTTGATTCCCTTGAGCTTTTATCTCTCTTGCACAAGGAGCCAAGAGAGATGGTACCTGTGTAGCTGCTTTGTTCCCTGTTATGATGACTTTGAAGAGGTGGCTGATTGGGGGAACAGGAGGAATGCCTCCCTGCCCTGCACTCTGGGGAAAGAATGTATTGCATGTGCTCTGAATAGATGAGTGTGAAGTGGATGGAGGGAACAAAGTGAGGAGAGCCAAGCAGGGGGCAGAAGCTTCTGGACTTCCAAGACATTTTGGAAAGGAAAATATTTGCAGAGGACCTAGATGGTGATGTGTGGAGTTCTCTGTAACTTTACTTTCTGAAACAAACATGCTGAGTTGCTTGATTGGGAGCAAGGTTGAAAAAAGACACGTGATGCATGGATACAAAAGGGGGAGATTTGTTGGCAGCTCATCTTCTGTCAGTCTTTTGTCATGCTGCATTTTGTTTGTTAACAAAAAATTTAATCCAACTCCTGTTCCAGCCCCCTTGTTGGAGGGAGTTGACCCTGGTTACCAAGAGTAGATGTAGTCTCCATGAGAAAACTGAAACGTGTTCCTGAGTAAATGCAAAAGTCTCTTTGTTTGCTTATTTGAAGTCTGCATCCCTCTTCCTCTGGAGTCTGTGATGACACTCAGATTTGTAAAGTTTTGAGTTCAAAGGTATTAAATTGTCTAGACACATCTCTGAATTGAACTGCTTGGTTGCTATCTTGAGGCCTGTGTCTTTTTTCTGGCTGAAGCATGTTTTTCCAAAAGGCTTCCAGTTTTAATGATGTGATCTTGGCAGGTGGAGTTGCCACCACTTTCATTAGTAATTGGTGACATGTGTTAATCAAAATCTGTTCCAAATTGACCTGTTTCAAATTGGAGTTTGACGAATTCCAGCCTGAAGGCAGATGCTCCTCGTATTTCTTCCTCCCTTCCTGGGTGGCCTGGGTCATCATCTTGTGAAGGTAAATGCTATAATCAAACAGTCTCTTGGTTTTAGTGGGAAGAATCACTGGAAATCCTCAAGGATCAGGTGTTTTCTTCACTTTATCAATTTTATAAATGGCATGATACATTATGTTACAAGCAGGGGTTTTATTTTTACTTCCATATTATTGATGAGAATGTTGTGGCTTGTGGACTTCAAAAAGCATTGATGGGCATCTGCTGTATTTCTGTTTTTTTACTACATTACCATCTGAATATTGGACTTTTTTTTTCCATTTTCCCCTTTGAAATGGATTATGTTATATTTGCCCTTTTGATTATTGCTGGATTTGTCTACTGTTCTATAATTGCCTTGATTTTTATTAACACCAGCACTCTCAGGTATTCTCCAGCCAGCTGTTTGTGGCTGGATATAGTAACTGTGGCCTCCAGGTAGTATCCTGGTGTGGGGACAGGCAGTGGGATAAGGACTTCCAGCCTGATTGGAGACTATTCTGTTTCACAGGGGGATGGGGAATGTGGTCATTCAGCCTATTGCCTGCACACAAATCTTAGACATTCCCCTCCATGTTTATGGTCTCATGTATTTTCCCAGAAGAGGAAACAGCTGAGTTTTTGGCCACTGATAAGAGGGCAATCTGAAGAGCTTAAAAAGGATGTGTGTCATGCAGAATAGCTGCACATACCAAACTGTAGCTGTCAGGCGTCAGGCATATCAGATTGTTTTAATGCTCCCGATTTTTTAACAGAGACCCTTCAAGTAGGAACAAGAATAACTTTTAAATTCCAAGAGCTGCTTCTGGCGAATGATAAGTTGGAAGCTGCCAGGTCTTGTGACACTCATTTTGACATTCCCAGTCGCATCTTTGTACTTTTTCCTTTCTTTTTAATTTCTAAGAATCCTTTTCCCTTCTTCCATGTACCTATTTCCCTAACAGACTCCACCAGATCTCATATAAATGTGGGAAATGGAACGAATCCTCCTGTGTTGTATCAGCCCACCTCACTGGTATCATCTTGCTCTCTGTCCTGTAGTGTTTAAACCACAAATGTATTTCCTTGTGTTGTAGTAGTTTCCTACTGCCTGGTAGTAGTGTAAGGAAGTAGGGGAACCTGGGCATATAACTAGCAATGTATTAAAAATGTACATTTTGGTAATTATTTAAAAGATGCAAGTGAATGAGCAGTGTCCATAAATCTGTTGGTGCCCTCTGAGCTGCCTGCCTGCCTGCCTCAAGCTTTTGGGGAAATGGGGGTTTTGAGCAGGGAGTTGCAAGGCAGCAGCAGCCTGAACTGGCTTTTGAAAAGCATTTGCAGTTTTGCAGAGGGCAGGGCTGCTCAGCACTGAAACACAGAGGTGGGACTAACCTGAATGCCAGCCTCTAATGCTGGTTGAAATGCCCTGCAGCAGCCTGCCTGGGCTGTATGTGCTGCTGTGGAAGGCTGCAAATCTCCCACCAGCCCTGTGTCTCATCAACATCTCTTGATGGGGTTTCTTGACTCCATGCTGGAGTAGCTGCTTGTTAATTCTCTGGTGTATGCACTGGTGAGTAGCAGAGCTGTGTGCTCTCAGATCCTCGGGTGGTACAAATCGGGTCCAGGTCCAGTGTGACCCGGTGATTGCATTTCTGTTGGATTAGCCAGAGGATGCAAGGAGGTCTTTGAGATTATTAGCACTGTGGTAGCATCAATGCCACAGGTGCTGTGTAAGAGATGGCACCTGGTCTGTCAGAAAGTCTTCTGGAAAAAAGTTGTGCTGGAAGATTTGGGAACAGATTGGATCTGGTAGAAGGAGATGTGCATTGAAGCCATGTTATATATTGCAAGGTGAACTAAGGCCAGGTTTAGTTTTATGGAACCCCAGCTCTATTTCTTCCTCTTCCCCTTCATTTCCATGCATGTGAAGGTGTGGGGTGTTGTGCCTGGAGAAACCACTCTGCAAAAGAGCAGGATGGTGCAGCCCTCACTCACTGTTGGCCATAGTGGTAGCAAGATGGAAATGGCCAGTGTTACTTCCCAGCACAGCATCATTATGGATTGAGTCTCAGGGCCCATTGTGTGGTGCTAAATTCCTAGTGTTGGCTTATAACTGTGGTTTGGGGACCGATTTCTGAGCTGTGTGTGAGCTCAGGGTCACATAAATACTGAAGAGATGTAACATTTACCCTGTGCGTAGTTTTCAAGCAGTAGATGGATGTTGCTGTGAAAGGGCTGGGGAGAGTTAACTGTGTTAAAATTACATCTGGCAGGTTAGGCGATGTTATTGTTACTGGTTATTCCTGAGCACTGCTTTGCTACACTGCAGTACAGGAGGATGACAACATGTGCTGTACTGTACTCTGGAATTTGATGCATTTTACTGCTGGATGTTTTTTCTAGACTCACTTAATAAACCTAACATTTAATAACCTGCTGAATTACAGGCAACTTATATTGGGCAGGGGAAGAATGTCCTGGGGAGATGGGATAACTGGATTTGAAGAATTCAATTATCTACCACATTTCACAGTTTATAATGCTTTGGGCCAGGGCAGGGACAGTGCAACAACCATCTAACTTGACCCCTGCAATACCACACGTTTCAGCTGTGTGCCCTGTGTGCATTCTCTGCTCCTGGTCTTGTGCCTGTGATGAGGAACCAACTTTATACAGGATGTTCCTTAGCAAACAATGGCTTTGAAACATCATTTTCTTCCTGTCCTGGGTGGTTATCTGTCTGTGCTGTGGTGGTCACTTAAGACCATCATGGCATTGGGGTACCCACAGAGTTGAGCAGAATAGTGTGTGGAGCAGGTATGTCCCTCTTCTGACCTGGGCCAGTCCCAAGTGGCTGCTGTTTCACTTGCCTGCCTGTATGCCTGACATGCCTCTGTTTGGCCCATGGCAGGAGAAACCAGTGTTTGGTGGGGACACTGGTGGTATGTGAGGGGAGATGTTCACTCCTACCTACAGCTGTGTCCTCCTTCTGGAGATGCAGGTCATTTCTGAGCAGTTGCTGCCAGGCATGGTGCATTGCTTTCACCTGAACAAATGGTGGGAGAGGAAAGCATGCTGGTGCATTGGTTTCACCTGAACAAATGGTGGGAGAGGAAAGCTTTGGGCATGACTTTCTTCTTTTGTGTGATCAGATTGAGTGACCTGAAACTGGATCTGCACACTTCAGAGATACAGGGTAACCAGCTTCTTTCAGCAGGCACATTCATGATTTGGAACCGTGGTTGAACAATTTTAGGTCTATGCCAAAGGAGAAAATGGTGCCTTCAGGGACCTGTTGGCTATAGAGGGGATTTGAAAGGCAGCAGAACTATTGCAGTGTGTGTGCGCTGCCAGCTGTGAGGGGAAGGGGAGGTTACTTGGCCAGTGGTGGCTCTGTAATTGGCCTAGTTAAAGAATTGGTAAGCACAGGGGAAGCTGCAGTAATGTATTTTGCCTGTTGAACTCTAGCAGCAGCTTTTGAACCATATTCAACATTGGATTTCTGTCTTTGAATGAGTGAACCTTTTCAGCTAAATGATTTAAGTGAAAAATATGCTAAAGGTATAATCAACCTTTTTTTTTTTAACTGTGGAGAAGTGACATCCAGGTGAGAAATGTTTGCTGTTGTATTTTCAGGTGACAAGAAGTACATTATGGGACCCCATGTTTCCACCGTGGATGCCACTGTCTTTGGACATCTGGCACAGGCAATGTGGACACTCCCAGGGACTCGGCCAGAGAGACTAATCAAAGGTAAGAAAGCTAAAGTGATCTCTGATGAAAAGCTCTTGGTGGCATTTGCCATGTTTAAACTTGGAGCATCTTATTTGATGAGATTATTAGACATTTGAAGAATGTCTTAATAGACATTTGAAGACTGCAGCAGCACTTCAGCTGCATTGTTGGCTGTTCTTGGCTTTGATGTAGCATTTGTATCCTGTAATGTTGTTTTGTCTTAAACTCGTTCAGTTTCTTTTAATGTTCTGCACAGTCCTTGTTTCTGTCCCTGTACTTGATCTCTCTGCTGTTTAATGTAGCAAAGACTGAATGCCTCTGATGCTAAGTAAAGTACGAGAAGATGAAAGCACAATTATGAGACAAATTCTGCTGAATTGAGTAGTTTCATTGATGGTAGAGCTGCAACTGCTGTTGTCCCGTGGCAGTCACAGCCTTTGCTGTTATTGAAGGTGCTGGAGAAGGAAGAAGTTCAGCCTGACTTTGCAGCCACTGTGCTTTTGCTTGAATTGGAAACAAACACATTTTTAGTTTTCTTTTTTTCCTTGTAGGGTGCTATAGGCATGTGAAGGTAGGTATCTTTGCATCCCGTCTCAGAATAAAACCATGCAGTCTGAAAAGTGGGAAGAGCTAAAGAGGAAAAGTATGTGAAATTGATGTAACAGGAATGAATCTGATCTGTAGATCTACTCTTCTGTGCAAGAGAGAGCTAAAGCAACATTTAGGAAGCCTAGACTTGTTGACTGTTAAAACTTTGAGGAAAAAAATGTTTGAGATGAGGACATTAAGTATTGTCTCTACAGTTCTTCCCCTTGATGTCTGGGGAATCACAAATGAAATTCTGAAGGTTCCATGGCTTTTAAGAAGGAGTACTATGTTTATTGAACTAGGATGTCTTTAGTGAAAATAAATAGATGGTAATAGATGCAAATACCCAAGCAGTATGGATGGTTCTCTGTACCCATCCACCTACTCAGGCTATTGTGAGTGTAGGTTTCACATAGGCATTCCCTTTAATGTATATTATATATATTATAAATTCCCGTTTTTTAATTCCTTCTCTAAGGACACTCAAGCATGCCTGTATGTATAAACATAAGGCATTAGGTACTCGGGCTAGGAACGCTAGGGGTGAGCCAGTGACCGTGTTAAAACTTTTAAATGTGAATTTATCTTGTAGACAAGGCTGCCACCTGGTGGTGGAAAACCCAAATTAACTGTATTTCAGTAAGCACTGTATACATAGGATCAAATTCTGTCTTTAGAAACCACGTTTCTGCAAAATAAGCAAGAATATTACTATGAAAAACTTAAATTTTTAGTATCTGGTCTTGATTTTATTTCTATAGAGGCTGAACTTGGCATAGGTATTTTGCTACATGCATTTATATTTGTTCCCATGCAACTCTTCTTATTGTATGTAGGTTAATAATATGTGTTTTAAGTTACATGAAAGTTACAAACAGAGCTGTTAAGAGGATTGATGGAATCTTGGAATTCTGAAATCTCTTTGGAAGGAACCTGCAGGATTTGTTCCTAACATGTTTCTGCATCAGCTGGCAAGTTAGAGCATTATTGACTGGGTGTATTTACTGGAGTCTGTTTTGCTGTGTTGCAGGTGAACTGATTAACCTTGCTATGTATTGTGAAAGAATAAGGAGGAAATTTTGGCCAGAATGGCACCATGATGATGATAACACTCTGTATGAATCTGAGGAAAGCAGTGAAGCAAGCAAGACTTACTCCCCTTTGCAGGACTTCAGTTTTTATTCAAGGACAGAAACATTTGATGAGGAAGGGAACAGTATTTCTCAGACCCCTGACACAGATTACACTGGACACTCCCTCTTTGATTCGGATGTGGACATGGATGACTACAGAGATCATGAACAATGCAAGTGATGGGTGCAAGCATCTTCCATTTTGGAGACAAGCTGCTTCATGGGATCAGTGCAATTTATTTTCTCCTCCAGATCAGGAAGAGGTTTACACCACTTTGAAAGTGAGCATTGTGCTTGACTCAGCTGCCATACTCTGCCTGGCCTATTTTAGCCTTCTTTCATTTTGTGTAACTGTCCAGGTGGAACCATGGAAAGCAGTTACTTAAAACACCTATGACTGGAGGTTTAGAGGGCAACAGGACCTTTCAATCTACATTTTTGTTTGTGTCAAAACCAGATTCCACAGCTGGTTCAGACAGACCTCTGGGAAGTGGAGCATTTGCCAGAGCTGGTTTGAGTTGATATCTTGCCTTCACAGGAATGGGCAGAAGACAGAAATGCAAGAGGCATGATTGGCACACCTTTCTCCCATGGAAGAAAATAACTGATGCTTTGTTGGGGGGGTATTTTATTTCATAGTGACCCACACTCTGGGTGCACGTATTATTATAGTGTCTGCAAGAAAGGACTGCTCTGAGTTCTTTCTGAGACAGTGAAGGAGAGGCAGGAGGAAAACAAATTCCTACTGAAGAAGCTTTGTAGTGTTTCTTGTTCTTTGCAGAAGATTGAAATCACTGTTGTAGAATATTTTCATTCAAGAGAGGAATGTCAGTTTTAATGTATAATCTCCCAAACACTTAATCTGGAATGTGTGTTGGCCAAAGCCTGCCTCAGGCATCTAAGTTTCTTCTGTGTTTTCAAATTATGATGATGTTTTACTTCCTGCCACTGGCTGCTGTCTGCTATTCTGAGGCAAGGATAAAGAATCAGGATATTGTTACTGAAGTCTGGTGTGTCTCAGCAGTGGATGCTTTGTGCTCTTTACCAGCTGACACCTCAAGCCCATGAATCATGCAAAATGATCTGGGGTATTTCTAGGTGTGGAATGCTGAGTAAATGCAAGATGTTGGGCCAGGCAATCAAATGGAGCATTGACTTCATCTCTAGAAGTTACTTCAGTGGGTGCTGGGCACTGTGCTGATTTAGAGTGCACAGTCCCTACAGCCAGTGCACGGGAGATGGTTGAGATAGGACAGCTGTGTCAGCACCACCAGCTGTGGGGATTCCAGGTGCTGAAAGACTGACCAGAATGGATTTTAAAGCACCTTTGCTAGCACATCTGTGGATCTGGAACTCCAAATCCAGCATGATTGCACAGGTGCTGACATGCTTTCAGTCCATGTGTCCCTAAATGCAGGTTAGAGGTGAGAATTAATCCATTGAATTTACTCACCACTTTGAAGGTAAGCATGGACATCAGTGCTGCTTGGCCATGACTTGTTGGTTTTAAGTAGAGATAAAGCGTTTAGAACATATAGACAGTTATGATATTTGCAAACATGCATATGAAATGGGGTATTTGCCTGCAGACTTTGGTGGTGGAATGTTTAAGAATATTTTAATTATGGATTGGACGAATCAGGATCCCTCTGCAAAACCTTTATAATGTGTTGGTTGTGTCAGACATTCTGGGAGCAGACAGGGTAGACAGCTGCTTTAGGATATTAATTGTTGGTAATCCTAATAGTCTGGAGCTTGAAATAACTCCAGCCTTCAAGGAATCTTGGATCATGGAGTGTGTCCTTCAGAGGAGAGTGCTTGTCCGGGGGAAACACCGAGCTAGCAGTGACTGTGAAACAGCAACACACATGTCTGCAGTGAGTTCCCAGGTCTGTTTGTGCTTGGGAGCCACTGCAGGGAGAGCTGACCAGTTTGGTGTGATCTGAGATGGGTGTGAATTTACACCTCTTGGCTCAGTTCCCCAGGCATGTCCTTGGAGCCATATTCTAGCCGATGGTCTGTGATGTTGTGGGCAAGTATCATTTGCAAATTGAACCAAAACCAAGTAGGAAGAAGAAATCATCCACTTACTTTGAACTCTTTTCTGGAAAGTAAGCACAGGAATAGGGCACAAGAAGATAAGTTTTGGTCTTGAGAGAACAGGCCTGAAATGCCTGTGAAACTTCAAAGCCAAGTCAGAGCAGATGCTTCCTGCAAAGATGCAGTCATTAGTAGTCTGGATAAAAGACATCCACATCAAAAAGCTCCACTTTAGAAATTGTGTGTGTGTTTAGTTTGTGTGTTGGAAATCCTGATGGAGGTGTTCTTATGCATTTACCCACATGTGTTTGAAGACTCTGCTTTCTCTGTTCCAGTGTTGGCAGGGTGTCCTTGCAGCAGGTGGGTCCCAACCATGGGTCGTATTTGTCAAGACCAGCCTGAGTTCATCAGGCCGTATCACCTTTATAATTTTGGTGGGCTGACAGATCAGTCCATGGCAGCATCCTTGCAACATCCCCAAATGTGGGTTAACCAGAAGTCAGCTGTGTTATTTTACCCTCCTGTGTGAGTGTAGCCAGATCTGGATTTCACGTTGCCACACACAGTGGTGGGCACAGGGACTGGAGGCACCAGCCTGAAGCACAGCTGGTGCCATACCATGGACTGGTTTGCCTGCTGGCATCTGGAGCTGCTGGCATGGCAGGTAGGGTCAGTGCTACTGCGTAGGGACCTTTGATGATCCAAGGGCTGGAGCAGCTCTGCTGTGAAGGCAGGCTGAGAGATTTGGGGCTGTTCAGCCTGGAGAAGGTTCCAGGGAGACCTTACAGTGGCCTTCCAGTACCTGAAGGGGCAACAGGAAGGATGGGAAGAGCCTTTTTACCAGGGAGGGCAGTGATAAGACAAGGGGTAATGGTTTTAAATTGAAAGAGAGTAGATTTTAGGTTAGACATCAGGAAGAAACTCTTCACCATGAAGGCAGTAAGGCACTGGAATAGGTTGCACAGAGATGTTATGCCTGCCCCCTCCCTGGAGGTGTTCAGGGGCAGGTTGGATGAGGCTTGTGCAGCCTGGTCTGGTGGGAGGTGTCCCTGCTCATAGCAGGGAGGTTGGAACCTGATGGTCTTTAAGGTACTTCCCAACCTTCACCATTCTGTGATTCTGTGACCTCTGCTGAGGATGTTGGTGCCTTGCAGGGACACAGTTACGTTTGTACCTGGTGTTTGTTGCTTTTGTTTCAGATAATCGGTGTGCTTCAGCAGAGACTGAACCTCGTCCAAACTGACCAGGTACTGGGCTTCACCCCTGGGGAGGGTGAAGAAAGAGGGAATCAGAAGGGGCTGCAGAAGGGGAAGCAGCTTTTTGCTGTCAGAGAGGGTTTTGTAGGGTGTGAGGTGAATGGGTTTTGCAGCTCATCCCATGCCTTCCCTTCCTGATGAACTACTCATGTTACTTCCGAGTAGAAGTTAGGAGAAGTTAGTTTGCTTTCTCCTCATGACAGCTACTCTAGATGGAGTCTGGGTTTCTGTGCTTGGCCGTGTTTCAGATGAGAGGTGAAATTAGGAAACAGTTTCTCTTCATGGCTTCATAGGGGTAGTATTTTGTCTGGGTTTGGTGGGAAATCCTTGAGTTTATTTATCTCATTCAGAAACAAATACTGAGTCTTAGGCCTGTTTGAAAGGATTTAATGCAAGTTTTTTTTTCTTTTGGAAGCTCATCTTGGTGCAGTGTTCCTGGGGGAAAAAAATAATGCTTAAAAAAATAATTGTTTTTGAACATCTATGAAAAAGTGATGGTTCATTTTGGATTGCATGGGGAAAGAGAAGACAAGGGTTTTCTTCTGTAAAAACAGAACTGATTTTTTGTCTTTCCAGAATTCTGCTAGAATAGCAATATTTTCTTAGTCCTGCAGTGTTCTGGTTTTGTTTCCTTTAGTCATCTTTATTTTTTATCTTGGTGCTGATGGGCTATGCAGAACCAAAACCAGTCAGAGAGCATTTTTATTTCCTGTGGTTTCTTTTTTCCTCACTGATGAGGACTCCAAGCAAATCTGTCGTAGGGATGCCAGAGGTCCTGGCCATGGTGCTGGTGGGGACTGGGGACATCAGGTGTCTCTGCAGCAGTGAAGCCCAGGACAGATGTGGGGTGGTGACCACCCGGTGGGTGAGCTGGGATGGCTGCTTCAAGCTGGAGCTGAAGGAGGAAGGAGGCCATGATGTTGTGTCTGAGGTGACACTGACCACACAAGGCCCTTTTCCCAGCTGGGGGTCCCACTCCTACAGCCAGACACTCACTGGAGGATGATGTCAGGAAGGCTTCAAGGACCCTTGTCCCAGAAGTCAGATGTCTGAGGTCCCTGAGAGCATCGCAGCCAAACCTGTCTGTGGTCCCAGCTGTGGCCCCAGGCTGCCACGCTGGTTTCAGGTAGACCATGTTATGTGGTCCTGGCAGGAGGAAAGCTAGTCTGAGGCTCCTATGTGCTGCCTGTCCTCGCCTGTAATAGGGCAGGGGGCTCTTGAATAGTCCAAGGGAGGAGGCAGTGCATGGGAGAGGAGAAAGGGGGATGCAAAGAGGGTTCTGAGTGATGGGTCACAACAGGATGACATGAGCTGAACCTGCAGCCTGGCCACAGCTGTTCCAGCAGCCAGGCAGGAGCCCTGCCCTGCTCACAACTTGGAGCATGACCCCACATCTCCTTGAGGAGTGTGGTTCGTCCTGGTTACTTCGCCTTGAATACCACCAGTGGCTGAGTAGTGCCTTTGTTTCAGTCATCCTGCTTTAAGAGAAGGGATAATTGGTCTGTTCCTCGTTTGGCAAATGGAAGTTTAAAAAGCAAGCATTTCCAATAGCTGGAATTGAAACAGTCTGTTGTTTTTTCATGTGAATTGCAGTGTTTGACTGTGTAAGGCTCTGTCATGTCAGAGGGGATTTGTTTACCCCTGTTGGACTCATTGGCTCTGTCAGCAGAGCTCACTGTTACCAAGTGGAGGAAGCAGATGCTGGGATGTATAGGTCCTACAGAAATCCTACAAATGTGGTGCTTGATTTAAAAACCAAACCCAACCCGATGTTTCAGATCAGGAGGACTGTTCCCATCCAATTATAACACTGCAAGTCACACGTTTTTATCCTTAAAACCTTGGCAATGTCCCTCCAGATCTGTAGTCTCTTTGAAAAAATACT